GTCGTTTTAGAAGCCAATGGATACTTATCCTTTTTCATCTAAGGCTAACTGCTTCAACACTCTTGTTGCTAAAAATAGCGCTGATTTTGTTCCATATGTTACCGTAAGTAATTGATAAAGTTTAGATGCATCATTCAACGTATGTTTCAAAGGATGCATTGAAGTTTGCGTTGCTCAGGATCTATACGAATCTGCCGATACATTTTGCATATATCAGCAGTGAAAGCCACCTTGTGTTTTCTAAATCGTAGCAAGATAGAAAACAGGTCATCTTGAACTACACCTCCATTCATCAAACAGTCGTTTAATGAAAAACCAGACGATGAAGGAGCCGATGCGTCGAATACCACTCGTAACTTAGTTGTACTGCTGTCTGCCTTATAAACACCATGATGAGGCATTATGTATTTAGGAGTTTCCGTCACACTCTGCATTTTTTGCATATGCCCTAACGCTTCATATTCACTCATGAACTCACAATACATCCTAGACATGTCAGGGGTTTTGTCTAGTCTCTTCCACAAATTATTTAACCTGTTGGGTGGCTAATTGCGAAGAATCACCCAAATGAACATCTTGCCTTAATGGTAGAGTCACTACATATCTACCCTCAATATCCCTCTGATGGGTTTTTTCTAAAATGCTCCTCACATTCTACTTCTTCTTTATTTTTGATTTTGAGAGATTCTGTAACAGCCTCAATTTCCCAAAAGGACTTGATTAGTGAATTTAAGTCTTCTTCGACTTTCATATATCCTCACTGAATCGCATTGTGTGAATTTGAACCAACATTTACACCGGTAGCAATGTATCCAAATACGGAATTTTGAAGAGTTAAATTAGAATTTCGTGGATGAATTTGATCAGCCTTTAATAGTTCATAAAAGCATTCTGCATCTATCTATTTTCTGGGGTTTGTTAAAATGAGGATCCGCTAGTTTGATCTTTTGCGGAAGCTGTGAAAATGAAAATTTAAAATAATTCACTGGTACTAAATCATTAATTTTAGGTACAACAAAGAATTCAAGAGCACGGTGGTAATCATGCTTGTTTGATATCACAGCAGTAAGCTTGGATTTTACTGATAGAGCCATTCCATTTAAACATGAAATTGATAGGTTAATTTTACTCCCTTTTATTCCAAGCCTATTAGCAAAAATCATAGGCGAAACACGAACACTGACTTCCGCAGTCAAGTAAAGCTCGACAAGCAATAAAATTCACACAAGAATCTTTAACATAAATAATAGCAGTAGATAGTAATACCTCCTTCGAAATCACTTGTGAAGCAGCTACAGAAGAACCAATAAATTCTGAATTGTTTATTTGGTTGCAATTAGATAACATTTCAAAACATCTGGCTTCAGCATTCAGCTTCGAGTTGTCTACTAAAGGGGGGTCAGAATTATTAGCCGGTGCTTCCTCCTTCCCCACACAACTCATTTGTAGCATAATTTATGTTTCTTAACAAATTCAAGATGTTCACTTACAGTCATTTTCAAGAAAGAATTACATTTATACAACTTGTGAAAATTGTTACTTTTACAACAAATACATTTAAAATCTTGACCTTTAACATTTAACACCAAGGCAGTCACCTTTTGAATAGGTTGACCCTTTTTTTGCATTAAACACATTACATGACTTTGACGACTGCAAAGTTCTAGCATGATTTTTTAGAAATGTAATAAGCTCAAATAATTTAGGTAACTCACTTGTTTTTGAATCTCTTTCCCACCAAAGATGAGTAGAAACATCCAATTTTTGCAGCAAAATATATGCAAGAAATGTTTCTGCGAATCCCTCTATTTTTTGGTCTAATATTTCCAGAGACCTTATACTTTCATTCACTGTCTACCAGTTTTAAAATAGAAGGCAGGCTTTCATTTTGAATGGGAGAAATTGACATGAAATGCTTTATCTGGTCAAAAACCTGATCATGTTTATTGGAGTATCTCTCTTCTAAAAAATCCCAAGCAATTTTATAGTTACTGTCACAAATTGTGACTGATTGAATAATCCTCGCTGCTTCGCCATGAAGCGATAACTTCAAATACGAGAGCTTTTGGAAATCCGATAATACATTATTATTATGAATGCTTGAAATGAAAAGATCCCCAAAGCTTAACCAATCTTGAATATTTCCAACTAAAAGATGGCAAGTTTAATTTAGGTAATTTCATACCTTGTGCACTGGTATTTTCAATCTTTACATTACTTGCATCTTTAGCACTAAATTTTAACATTTGCCATTTAACTTTAACCCACAAAGTATCAATGCTCTCTTGAACAGTTTGCAGTTCAGTTACATATTTGTCAAACTCTTTTTCATCTACTCCTACAAATAATTTATCAAAAATCTCTGAACACTCATTATTAAATTTTGTACATTTATTTTCAAAAAGTTGTAACTGAAATTTATCACAAGTATATTTTTCAAAATCTGAAGTTGCTTTCGTTATACTTATTATTGAAAAATTCCTTTCTTAATTAAAAGTGCTTTCATAATTAACGTTAATTAATAATACCGAACATATATGAGCAAATTCACTTACCTCCGTTTGAGGTAATCCAAATGAAACCAAAATTTTTAAATCCAAACACACACTAATTTTTAATTATCTTGTTGAATGCGAAGTAACATATCACACTTTTTTATCAATTTAACACTTCATCTTTAAGCCTTTTAACCAGCACTTTATCCATAGGCAATAATCTTCCTACCGGGTTGCACGGACCACAATATATTCGAGAATAAAAGTACTCATGAAACACAAACACTAGGATTTAATGGACTGTAATTTTATTTCTCTTAACTTCTGTTTGGATGGACACTCTTGCCATCGCATAGAAGCAGCACGCAATCAAGCACAATAATGGCCGTTATCTAACCACATTGCTGTTTTCTCTCATCGTGGTTGCCAGATCACTTCTGCCTTAACAATCTTAATATATTTAAAATGGCACTGAAACACCCTGCATTTTACAAAATAAAACCTCATTATATTCTTACTTTATACAAATTAAAATGTCATTTACCTTCAACTGAAACATGCATTTCCACTAACTAAAGTCAGATGAAAAAAGATTTAATCTCTTTTGCAAATGCTTCCACATAGCATTTAGCAGTTACAGACAGATAATCAAGATTACTGCTTCAAACAGGATTCATAGCCACATTTTAATTAAAAAAATAAGCACCTGTAAGCACTTTTCAAGCACATTTTAAGAAAAAAAATAAGCACCTGTCTAATTAAATTATACACAACTGCATAACTTCAAAAATTAAGACTCGTAATTTAAAATATGAGAAATGCAGTATTTATTAAGAGAGAATAAGCATTACTTCAACCATGGAAAATAATTACTTTTTTTTTTAATTTTAAATAACAGTTCAATTTACAGAACTAGTTTACAACGAGAGAAAAAAAAAAAAAACTATGAAGAACTAAACTATATTACAAGATTTAATGATGAAATTTCAATTCAAATTAGAAGAAATAAATAATAATAAGGCATATTTATTCTATTCGCTTGGAACTTAATAATAAATACAATTTATTTTTCTACTCTTATTGATATTTAACTAATTTAAATCTAAATTCTGAACATTTTCTAAATTTTCATCGTATATCAGTTTTCCCTTAACAGATATTGCAAGTAAAGTAATTTATGTAAAAAAGAGGAACATTTCTGAAATCACAAGGCAGAAATTTGCTTCATGCAGTCATCCTTTAATAGCAAAAGCTTAACTACCCGCATACTTGAAAATTGGCGAATATTCGGACAGTCGAGTGTAACTTGAAAAAGAGGAGCGGAGGGAGGGGGGATAGACTGTAGCCGTTCTTTAGATTTTTCCGCTAATGTTTATAAACAAATCTCGGACCGAACATCAAAATTAATTATCTCTGCAAAATATCGCAAACGTTATTGCGCAATACGTGCCCCGCAATTCTTCACTACACGATATCACGCAATCGGATTCAACAGCTGCTGGTATTGGGAGAATAAAGAACTAAATAAAGGAAAGAGACTTACCAATCTGGGGTGTTTTTCATTCTAATTTTCAACAGAATTCAATTTCCGGAATAGAATCCTTCTTTGCTTAGGTTGGTAGACCGCAGAACTTTTAGTCCTATTCAATCCAGATTGGAAAGTGACCAAAAAAAAAAAAAAAAAAGTCTGTTGTTTGTTTTGCAGCAAATTGTAAGTTTCAGTATTCGAGATTTTGCGGAGAAAGGGGAGAACTCCCAACCTTCGTACTGTATAATGTATTGGCCAAAAAAATGAAATTATTTTGACTATTCGATTACTTTTCCTTTATTTAAGCCATTTCGAATATTATTAATTAGAAAGCTAATCTGTGTTAAAACACAACCATTTTTGGAAGTTTACTATACTTCAGCAGTTAGTGCAACTATGTTATTATAAACATTCATACATATGCTCATAATAAGCATAACGATCATAATAAACACAAACATGAACTGACCAAGCGGAACGAGAATGCAAATTATTAAGATCTTGATAGAAATTCAAACATGTGTAGTATTTGGGTGGGAGGAAAAGAATGCCGAATATACCGGAATTTTCTACTGCTTTCGCAATTCTTTGACCAACAGAACGACGGGCACATGTCTGTACTCTCAGCGCACACCAAAGATTATGTTAATGCAGAGAAAGGGGGAAAAGCTATTTTCGGGAGTATGATTCACAATATGACATTCCATATTAGGAAGAAAAGTTGTTTATTTAGTTTCGGCTTTGGTACAGGGAAAAATTGCACGTTCATTTAAAAAAAAGCACTAAAACCAAAAAAATAAGGGCTTTAAAGAAAAAGTAAGCACCTATAAGGGCCTTTATATTTTATTTTCAAATATAAGGACTTATAAGCACTTATAAGGACCGCTACGAACCCTGTTCAAATAACACATTACTCTACTGCAATAGTAAATATTTATTTCCTACAATATTGTTTAAAAAATATTAAAACAACTTACTCTATCAACAATATCCATACAAATTCCAACATCAGTTTCTTCTTGTTTAAAAACAAATTTATTGTAAGTGTCTCCAAGTTGTATATAAAGGTCATGACACAACTGACAAGTTGAATTAACTTCAATAGTCTAAATGAAAAAGAGTTTGAGCACATTTCAAGAAATATTAAAAGTCAAACTATCCTGAAAATTTTACAAGTTTACTTAACAATTTTGAAAATTTTAACTGCATAATTTACATAATATGAATACAATATATCATTGTACATATTCAGAAATGTTAAGTGCTGCAGTTTTTTTAATTTACAGACTTTAACTAAGTACAATTATACCATATTATTTTGAATTTAAGCCACAGTGGTATTTTAAAATATAAAAATTATGAAAAACTTATATGAAATACCTATCATTAAATATGACGCCAATGGGATTTTAAAACTGAAAAAATAACTTTAAAAAATAATTAAAAATTATTTTATAATAAGAATTCTTCAAAAATAAGAAACATTTTTATTTACTCATATAAGGTACTAATATAAATATAACAAGCTACCTAATTTATTCAGAATCCTCAGATATAAAACTGCTTTCAACACTTCCCTCTCCCCCCCTCAGAACTTGAATTCTTATCTTTACTGTACCATCACAGCACATCATATTCAGTTTTCTTAAATCATTAGTAATGAAATATTTAAAAAAGAAAAGATTTTTGGATAATTTTTCCAGGGATATTTTTCCAAAAATGCAAAACCCACTGTGTTATTAAAGAAAATAGTGCTCATTTTTGACCAGCTTGTAACTAAAAATGATTAAATCCTCTATTTCATAAACATCTTTATAATGGGTTCTCATACTGTCTATACTGGGTTTGTTAGAGAAACACAGCAAATAGTTGGAGTTGACCAGTTATACCTGCTGGTATTATTATCATATAAAGCATTTTATTTTTATTTTAAATCTAATGCTATCAGATAAATGCTGTCAGAATACGTTCATTGCTAGTACGCTTTATTTTTTTTTAAAGGCTATCAGGCCTCTCGAATCTTTCATCAATTCTGTTGGCATCCACGTAATCTTAGTGCAGTTTGTTTCTATCAGCAATTATTGACATCACAGTAACTTGCGAATTTTCATATCCATTAATTAATTTTTATTTTGTTTTATTACCTGTATTATATAATTCTTTGGCATATCATAAAAGACTGCTGTTTCATCAATGTTTCTAATTTAATTAAAACAATATTTGCACTGATGAATGTTTGCTAATTCAGAAAACTAAGATGCTTATCTTCATAATCTATAAACAACTTCTGAGTTACTGTAGTCTCATAAAATATGAAGATAATACTTTTCATTTCATAAAATTTTCACACCACAATTGACTTACTTTAAACATGATGCTGCTAATTTTAGCACACTGATTAGCTTTGACTTACTGTTTCTCTTGTCATTTATAGACTTGGCTACATAATTCTTTTATGTAAGATAAAACAACCATGGGATAGCTTCCATTTTTAAGGCCCTGTAAAAAAATTTTTGTGTTTCTTTACATTGAAATAGTGAATATGAGTAATAAAAATTTAAAATATGGCCAGATACAATGCAATTTTTCATTGCTGCTTTCAAACAACTGGATTAAGTTAGAACAGTGTGAAAGGGAATAAATAAACTGCTATTGATGATCAAAATACAGTAAAAAGTCTTTAATCCAGACTCGTTGGGACTTCAGCGATTCCGGATTAGGGGTTTTTTCGGATTATAGATCATCAATTTAAATCTGGTAAGATGGCATGCAGAAATTACAAAATTAAAAATATGAAACCATAATTTCTGAAATACAGATCAATTACGATCTAAAGGGTATCAAAATTTATAAAAAAAATTATTTAAAAAAGCTTAATATTTATTTGTTTACTTTATTAAACATTTCTTTCAATGTAAGTTGTTTAAGTTGCTTCATTTTATGTTGCGGCTTCCCCCTCACATTTTTTCGGCGCTTCGAGTTCTCCTCTTCGCACATGCGCGATAAGAATATCACCTTTGCGCGACTGCAAAAGAGAACTTTCGCTTTCTATTTTTACAAGTTCATGTAAGTGTTTTACTCATCGCTGAGATTCCCATTATTTATTGCCATGTACGTATTTTGATTAATTAAAGAATTTATTTTTCTAAATTGGGTGTCTAGCCATTAATCAGACCCCAAAATGTGCTAATACTTTCTCTTTAATTCTATAAACAGACATAATTTCTTATTCAGTTACAAAGTTCCGTTGTTCAAGTCCTATAATTGCTGTGTCAAGAATACCGACTAACTTGTCAATTGAAATTTTTCGTTTCAATAACCTCTCTGTAATTTTCTTCAAGCCTTCATCCCTTTTTTGCAGCAATTCCACTTTTTGTTTGATGGACATCAAAACATGCTTTTGCTTTGTAGATCCTTTGGCAGCTCCAGAATTGGAAATTCTTTTTGATATAATCGAAAGTTCAAGCTTACTTTTACAAAATTGCTCTACCAGTCTGCAAAAAATAATAAGCCGGATCCAATTAGAAGATTAAGGAACAACGAAATCTGCAACATTAACTGAAATAGATAATTAGATCATTTTAGCTTAGCTTGTACCATCCGTTATACATTAAACGCGCATGCGTAAACGTATTATGCGCATGCATATACGCACATGCCTAAAGGTATTATGTGCATGCGTCAACGCATGCGTTGACGCATGCGCAGAAAGTTTGTAGCTTTGAGGTCCGGATTAAAGACTTTTGACTGTATTTTTACTTTAATTTTCTATTGATGCCCAGTATAGAAGAATTAACCAAAAATAGGATATGATTGCAATTTCAGTGATATTTGAATAATAAGCATCTCTCATGATGGCCCTGACTGATATGCTACTTCAGTGTGGCATCCAATGGAATCTGCCAGAATTTTTTTAGTAATCAACACACTGTGCATTGTTGAAATTCTCGAATCGTCCCGATAATTTTGGATATAGATAACGAAGTTCATTCACATCATTGAAAATTCTTGAAACTCTCTCTTGTATTGTCCTGATAATTTTGGATATAGATAACAAAGTTCATTCACATCATTGAAAATTCTTGAAACTCTCTCTTGTATTGTCCTCATAATTCTGGACATAAATAGCTAAGTTCATGCGCATCATTGAAAATTCTCGAAACCATCTCTTGAATCATAATGATAATTCTGGACATGCATAACATATTGCTAATAAATCTAGTAAGTCATGCCAGGCTATATAAACGCTTTGTCGAGCACATATTCCATACATCAATCAGCCGAACTCTTCAACCTAACTGTTTAATTTTGAGCTGTTTTTCAAACACATGGCAAATCAAAACTAATGTTATAGAAAGAAAACATACCTGTCACGAAGCTAATGAATTTATTTCGCAAATACAGGTGTAACCATGAACGTGCAACTCTTCATATTTCTATCAACATGTGCAGATGTTCGATGTGGAAGCCTTTTGCAACACAGCAGACATCTGCACAATAGTTTAGTTGCTAAGCTCTTGCCAAATAGGTTAATGGATCCACCATATTACAACTGCTGCACCCACAAAAGGCAGTCAAATGACTTACCATGTTGTTTTAAATTTCTAAATAAAATAACTCAGAAGAAGAAAGTTTAGAATAAATTATTATCAGCCTAAGAGTTACATTATACAACTTTCCATTAGATTACCTAACCTGTGTACACAAAATAAATTTCAAATGGAGTTTGAAATGGAGTCTGTAGGCAGAGGATACTTTAGAAAATAAAAGATCAGACTTCAAAAACAAATGCTTATGGGAAAAAACATTTCTCATTATTGCCAAAAATTTGTAGTAATCAAGCAATAGACCATTGTACAACTTTTCATGTGGTTACTAAGCTTTCATGAAGAATGTGTCGGATGTACATGATGATCGAAAATTAGAAAGACAAAAAATTCAACAGATTAAAAGAAACATAATGCTGGCATCAGAGCCAGAACAACTGATGCAGAGCGACAGTACTAAGGGTTGGAAAATTTTAGAAATGCCGGGCAGCAAAATACCTTTAACCTAGTGCGATATTTACCAGCAACTCTAACATAGTGCAAGGTAGAAAGAAAGAATGTCATCAAACAAGAAATAAAAAAATACGGGAAAATATCACAAGCTAATAGGATTTCGTCAATATGAATATGCCAATTTTGACAGAAACTTTGGAGAAGAGAGATGTCTGTGTTCTGTTGATCCCTCATTGCTTGATGCAATGTGCAATGTTGTTCATATGAAGATTTGATGATTAAGGTGACAGATCTCTATCTGGAATAATAATATTTGATAAAATGGGAATTAAACATTTTGACTAAAATTTAGATCATTCTCAAACCTGTGTTTCTTCCCATGACTTTCAATCAATCACACCAATCTTTCAATCACAACAATATTTCAATCACAACCACTGGTGAAATAAATTATGAATGTTTATGAGTCTCTAACAAGGAATTATTACAAAAGATAGAGTTTCATATGGGAAAAACGCCTCACTTGTTCAGATATAAAAAATTATTTTGAAGGAATTCCTTAGAGAATTGAGATAAGTCTCCTAATTAAGTAAGAGGCTGAAGGTTCACTCCAGCAGAAATAAAATTCTCGTAAAATTCTTCCACAGATTAAAAGAGCTCTATATGGATTGCAAGGTGAAACCGATTTGTTCAGCAGTTACTCACGCCATTCAAAGACTGAATAAAAGTCTAACATATCTACATCCTTTGCTTCCACAGCTGTTATGCACATCTCCAATTCAGCTAATGTAGCTGGAAGTAGAGGCACATAAATGAAGTCTTTTGTATATCTTCACAAGAAGAAATCATATACTGACAAGTCGACAATCTTGAAGCTTAACTCAATCGTCAAGTCCCAAACAGCCTCGATTAGTGACGAATGTGATTGTTCAAAAATTCTCAAATTTCTAATCTCCACTATGGTGGAAGTCATCCAAATCAGTTTCTAACTGTATAAAAAGGCAGTAAGGCAGTTTTCAAGCATATCGAGATAAGTGATTCTCATAATTGTTGTCTCCAGGAGAAAAATAGGGGCCATACATATTTTCTGAGAAATAAGGCAACAAATATTAAACATCTGGTGAGTATCTCTCATGCTCTACAATTTGATGTCACTACTCAATACTCCTTTTTCTAACACTGTGGTGACTGACCTTGCCACTATGATGAAAAGTAGCCTCATGAAGTGTTTTAAAAAATTGTCATTTGTGACACATTCTGAAGGATGAATTGATAGAACTCCACACACTGTTCTTCGTCACTTGTATGAAAAACTTGATGCAGTCTAATCCTATATGACTTGAAAAACAAACATACCAGACAGATGTTGCAGGAATGTCAAATTCCCTTCTTGCATAGTGAGTGGATTTCTATAGACAAAATGCAAAATTCTGTTGGATGCACTCCACATTTTCATCTGATATGTGAAGATGCCCAGGTGATTTCCTTTTGCACATACAAGCCATGCTTGAAATTGTTTATACCACTGCCTAATCATCTGAGCAGTAGGTTTTTGAACAGCAGGGTTTTACCATTGAAAATAATGTTGAACAGTTTTTATGGACTCACATTTCATGAAACACAGAACATAAAATGATTTCTGTAACACAGTCACCATCTAGACAAACACTGAAGTGACAGGGGCAGGAAGAGCTACCTGTCACTAACTGCATGAAACTTGAGATTTCCCTGTTTCCACCTATACATTATTCGATCAAAATGGATCAAAAGCTGAACAGATATGGGATAATCTTTGTATTATGGTAACTTAGCGATTTTTTGGCGAAAATTTGGCGACTAACCCTGCTACAGCAACCTGCTAGTTTTGTTTTGGACGCCATTTTGTTTTCACAAAGTGAAGGCAGGTTTTTTTTTTTTTTTTTTTTTTTTTTTTTTTTTGCTCAAAATTTTTTCCAACAATCTACTAGCCGAATTACGCTTATACTAGAACTTTTATGGAACAAAAATGCTTAATCGTGATGAAGATTAGGGGCGAAATTGGGAGAAAGTGCAGAATCGCAAACTGCTTGCCGCGTTTTTAAGAATTGCACATGCATGGTATCATCCATATACACGTCGACCTATTTTCACTTAAAAAAACATCCCAGAATTGCACAAAAATGGCATCGCGCACACTCTTGACTTTATCTATGTACACATCGACCTATTTTCACTTAAAAAGTCAAAGTAAATTGATAAAATTCCAATTCTTCTTACTCTTGTAAAAAGCGCCAAACAAATAAGCGGGCGATTCTGCACTTTAGCAGCGAAATTGTTTCTAAGTGCTTATTAGCTAAAATCACAATCGGAATTTTCCGGAAAATGTCACGACATGTCTCATGATCTCCCATTTCTCTGAGACAAAATAATCTGTGATTCGAACCGTGTACTTCTCAGATTATTGTTCAAGTCCTAGCTAGTAACCTTTATCGCCTTACTAAAATGTCGCCAAACTACCTGTTACCATATTCTAAAGATTAGCCCAGATATGATTTTTTTTTTAATCAGATGATTCTTTTTTAAACATCCTGTACTGTGTGCAAACCATAAGGTGTCATACAAAGACCTAGTCATTAAAGACTAAGATAACAGCATTAATAAGATGTTAAAATACTTACTCTGAATTTGTGCCATAGCTTAATTTTATGCTTTAAAAGTGTGAATAAAAAGTGTAGCTTAAATTCAAAGTAATACAATAAATAAATTTTAGCCCTAGTGGTATACAAAGAAAAGAAATGATATAAATTTAGATAATTCATTTTAAGATGAATTTAATGCTTTAAGAAAATTTATGTAAATAATTACAGCACATGAGGATTTCACAACAAATTTAGGTTTTCACTTCAGCACCTTATTAAATCAAAATATTTTATTATACAGAAACATGAAAAACAATGAAAATACTGTTATGAATACTTATTTCATGAAGAACATGCTATATGGGTTCAATTCTGTTATTTGAATATAACAAAGCACATAAGTACTACCTGCCTAAGGGGGAACAATGGCTTTGTGAAGTGCAAGAGGAACTGGCTTGTAGCCAACATGTTCATCTTAATTCAAACCAATCATGAACAAGTCCTTAGTCGCTCAGCTATTCATGCAGCCAAGCTACATGGGATTCACAGGAAGTTTTTAAGAACTATACTATATTATCTAAAAAAAAGTTAAGGCTTAAAAAAATTGAAAGACAAAAGGCATAAGACTTACAGTGTTAGAGCTCACCATACACTCACTAAGTCTCTCTGCAGTATCAAAGAATGCTTTTGTTTCATTATAGTAATCATAACAATCTATTAGAAAATAAATAAAATTTAATTACATTATAAAAACACATAGTAATAATCAAGGTTTTGTTGAGAAATAACAAATAAATAATTATCTGGAAATAAATGTAACTTCTATGAAAACAATGAGCAATATTAATACTGATTAAAATATTTTTATAATTAGATTGCAGCCATAATTTCTAGAACAGAATTGCAATTTTACAAAAACACACAAAAATTAATAACATAAACAAAAACAAAAATTAATATATCAATAAATTATAAAATATACAAATACAAACAAAAACAAAAATTAATATACCAAATCATGCAAATAGGAATTATTATAATGAGACAAGGATTAAATACACAACAACCAACTTTATAATTTCTTAAAAGTCTGAATTACTGCTTATGGAACTAAGTCTCCCAGACTATGGAGATGGCCTCACCAATATTTAGGTTGCCATAATTTTTTAGCAAATTATGTGATATTTAATTTTGATTAATTTATTAATGTAAATTACCTCACTGTAAAATCAGCAAGATATGTAATGTAATATATTTGACGAGCAACCACCCCAGCCCCCCAAAAAGAGAGAAAGAAATCATTCATATCAATCTCAAAGTTTCTTCCAAATAAAATATATAATTTGTAACTATCAATAAGCAATTTCTGGATTTTTAAAACTGCATTAGATCATCACACGATATCCAATTTGAAAAGAATTATGCTAGAACTAATGTTCTAAAACACAGAAGAATGGACATCATAAAAAGTAATAGAATTATTTGAGAAATACAGCACAAGTAGAAAAATAAGGCAGTTCAAATGCATCCCTATGTAACAATTACTGAAACTCGTTAAGCATTAAAGAAAGCACTGGATGGCAAAATAAAATTACTTAAATCAAACATTTCACAAATTAAAAAAAAAAAAAGCCTAAAGTTTTTAGGAAATGCAGGCAGTCTTGATATAATTTTTAATGGTTTAAGTAATTAATTGAGTATTATGACATTAAAAAATGCCCTAACAGCTTTCAAACTTTTAGACACTGTTAGTAAGATAAATATACAGTTAAAGTGAAATTCAATCCTCGTAATTATTCTTTGGACTCTCAACAACTGAGCAAAATTTAAATTGTTTGAAAACAATTAGCTGGAATTTTTACTTTTCGTAACTGAAATGGCCATGAAATATGTGAATACTAAGAGAGAAAAAAAGTTGATGCGCAGAAGAAAAATGTTTAGGTACACTTGAATGCACTGAAATAATGTTTTATAGGCTAGAAAAGTAAACTGAAGCAAAATTTTTCTATATGATATAATTCACTGCCAATTTGGTTTTTTTCCACCTTATGAAATTGCAGTATTTCTATCAAACCTTTTGTAAGTCAATATAGTACAAGGAAAGGAGCAATTATCCTCTTTTATACAGAAACTACTTTTAAGCATTCTCAGACCTTTTCCTTTTAAAGTAAAAATACTGCTGAAGTTGATTGAATTCCTCTTCTGTTTTTGTTCATTTTTCTTTACATTTCATTAATTTTTTTAAATGAGTTTTTGTTTGTTTGAAATAGTTTTGGTTTTAACATTTTTAAATTCTTTGTAGCATTTTATAAGATTTGATATTTGTTAATTATGAATTTCAATTTTTGGTCTTTGTGAAAAATTAGTTCTAAATTTCTTACTTTATGTCTTTAATGATCATTTTTCTGCAGCTTAATACCAGGCATGTTTTTATTTTGTTTTTGAAAGAATTGTTTTGTAAATATATACAGATAGATATATTATCAGCACATTTACAGTTACTCACTCTGACAGAAATTTATATCCCATAATGTCCATGCTTGATTATGGATTACATCAATTATGCTAATCTTGTCACTGCCAAAAAACCAAGTTTGACAGACATTGGGTTCCTGCTAAAAAAAGGATAATTATTAATTAGATTAATGAATTATAATATTGTCCTTTCAAACAAAACATCATGTAATTAGATTACTTTAGAAAAGATATGTGTGCCAACAGTAAGAAGTAGAAATGGAATGAATCCTGAATTTTCTCTAATCTAAATTTAAAAAGTTTCTAAATTCATCATATAATAATGAAAAAACTTTAAAAGAAAAAAAAAAAATGTTACTTTTTATGCATATAATATATGATAAAAACTACATAAAATAAAATGTTAACTTTAATTTGTTAGAGTCTTTCCCCTTTTTGAAAGAGAATCGTGAGTTTCCCCTTTTTGTCCTAGAAATAGTAACATGCTAAGAAGAAAACTAGGTACTTTCTGATCATCAGCACCCCAATTAATTTTTCACTATGCTAACATGCAAAAGGCAACAGCCATTATCAAAACGGAAATGCACTAAAGATTCCATAAAACAGTAATAATTCAATAAAATTAAAAAGCAAAGAAACATTCCAAATAAAACAATGTTTTTTAATAAATTCTTAAGAAATCTTTTTTCGTTATTCTCCCACATACATAGCGATGTGTTTTTGCCAGAGAACCGCACAAATTTGGCATTGTATACACTGCATTGTAAGGTTAGCAGATTTTGAAGTTTGAAATTCGAGACGCTGTATATATATATATATATATATTTAATAATTTTTTTACAAATTATTTTATTAATATTATTGTGGTGGAAGTGGTATGTTGGTCAGAATATATATACATAAATCAAAATAAATAATTTTTGTTTTATTTTTAACAGTGATATATTTTTTCATATATAAAAAATAAATCAAAATGCAGTATTCATTTTCAAACAAAATAATAAATTTGTAACCATTCTAAATTATTCTGATGAAGTAGCCTTATATTTCTCTGAACCATGAACATTTCTTAGAACATCTTTCCTTTTTTGATCTTATACATGTCTGTGCAATTTTCATCACAATTTATTTAGGTGATTCACATACATTTCAAAGTGTCCACATAAAGCTGTGTCTTTTCACTAGTCCCCAAACTGTTCATAATGCTAAATACTCCCTCAGTTGCAGCATGACTGCCAGGGGAAAAAAATGAAAAACTACAGGAATTTTAAAACATTTGAACAAAGAATCTGATTTTTATTAAAATATGCAGTTATTTCCATCCACCTCTGAACTAGGCATATCTTATTTTTTGACCATTCCAATATTTTATCTTCCGTGATATGTTCTTTAAAGTTAACATATTCCTCACATTAATCTTTCCACTAATTTATGATTTGGATTCATTTTATTAATTAACAAAAAGGCTGTTTCAACTTGACTCCAAAGAGGGATTTAATATGATCCAGCTGTACCTAAATACATAAAAATATGCATTTTGATGCAAATTTACGTTCTCACATTACTGCTTTTCGGGAAAATTTGGTACAAATGCTATAAATTCATGACAAAAAAAAAAAAAAAAAAAAAAAAAAAAAAAAAGAGTTGTAAAAATCAGGACAGGGACTGAAAATTCCAGACTGTCCCGGGAAATTTAGGATGTATGGTCACCTTCCACTATTATTTGCCCCATGTACACAGTGATCTGTTTTTGCTTAAAAAAAGTCAGAGAACTGCACAAATTTTGCACTGGTCACAGAAGATATACACACTTCTAATTGGTAATTACACCTATCTGTAGTTGTAGGATGGAAATCTAATTTAATTTTACCATACATGTACCAAGAAGAATGGACGGTGGCATTTTGTGTTGATTCACCAAAAATGTCGGTTCACTTTTTAAATTCTTGCCAACAAGTATTATCACCCTGCATTATATTTTAAGAAATGAAACAATGAAGAATCTGCATAAATGTATGTATGTTTCTCGCATAGTGATAATTGGTAATTACACCTATCTGTAGTTGTATTTGGAGATAAATCCTGTTCTTCCTCACAGAACTTTAGTAACATATATTTTTCGGTCTAATAATAATTGAAGTGAATATTTGTTATAAATCAGATATGGCCATTTTGCAAACCAATTTCCAACTCGCATTCAGACATTTCAATTCCAATATTTCCCATTGAACATCCTTAATACTTGATCATTTAGGTACAACTTTATTGTATGTGAAATTTTGCATTCCCTACTGTTGAGCAGAATGCCATATTTCTGAAAAAATGCAATACTTTCCGCATCATCAACAAATGCCACAATCCCATTACAATTTTACTACAAGGAAAAACAAAAATGCATTAAATGTAAAAACAAACACTAATCAGAAATGGCCATTGTATTTCGCCAGTGGAAATCCATGTAACTGAAACTGATGTTTGCTTTTACATGCACACATACTTGGTTTGCCACATAAATACATTTTGGCATTGCCCATAAATACATTTTGCAATGTCGTGAGTTTCCACGTAACTATTTTGCACTATACTGCATTACCTCATGATGAAAGAGGCATAGAGATAAATAAGAAAATCCAGGAACTACTCTGATGTGCGCCCTCAAGTCGCCAAATATTTTTGGCGAGAAACTTCACGCTGCCATATTACTATCTAAATTTTTTTTCTACATTTTGAACTTTTAGCCTAAAATGTCTCCAAAAATGCGATTTTCGCACATGCAAAAACTACGTTTTGAACACACAATTTAGCTAAAAATCCGAAACAAAAACAAAAAATTTAGATAGCAAAAATGTAAAGTTTCTAACCAAAAATATTTGACAAGAATCCATGTACACAGCGACATGTTTTAACTTAAAAAAACGGTTGATCTTTACAATATGGTAACTGGTAGTTTGGCAACATTTTGGAGGCGATAAAGGTTACTACCTGGGACTTTGGTAATAATGTGAGCAGTACTCAGTTCTGATTACGCATTATTTTGTGTGAGGGAAATGAGAGATCATGGGATATGTCATGTGATGTTAATGGACGAAATACAGTTCTTTAATCGGAAAAAGGGGAAAATCGGGAAAAAATCTGGAACTTTTGTATTTGGCTTTATTCTGTGTTGTGTGAAACAGTGTTTGTTAATTTTTGGATCCCATGGCCGTAACTAAAGTGAATTCGAAATGGGTATTTAGTGGTATTGAAAAGGGTAGTAATAAATGTTTCTTTAAGGTTGTGCGAGATAGAAATAAAGATGTTTTATTAAGTTATTTATTTTACCTGGTACCTTGCTGTGAAATATAAGTATGATTTTAAAGATCCTGAAACAGAAAGAAGAAAAGTTTATCGGACACGTAATCAAGATTCTGAAGAAGATTAGGTAAGTTAGTATTTTGAATTATTTGAGGATATTATTTTTATGCATTGTTCTAAATGTAAGGTGGAAGTAAAGGAATTTAGTATTATTGGGAAAATTGTTATTAGCAATGATTTAGTTTAAAGTAATTAGGATTGTAAGGTAATTTTTATTAATTTAATGTATGTGCTCATTTATATTTTTAAATAGTGTTTTTGAATTTAATTATATTTTAATTAAATGATAGTTATTTTGTGAATTTTATGTTTTGTAGGAATTTGGTATACGTTTTAGTTGAAGTAAACGTGCATGGAAATAATTTAAATATCTGACACTAAGTATCTGTAATGGTTGCGGTATGAATTCGTTGGTGACGTTTATAATAGATGATTTAGAGGAAAAGTTTTTTGGATATTTTATTTATTTTATATGTGGAAATGTTCATATTTGGAAAGGGTAAATACTTTTTTTTTCGCGATCAGGTAATTTCACATATGTTCTTTTTACTGGGTTTAAAGATTGAGAAAATTGTCATGTATTTTCGTGAAATTTTTCTAATTTATGAGAAAAAGCAGTGTACATGGATATAGTGAAGAGTGTGCGCAATGCCATATTTGTGCAATTCTGGGATGTTTTTTTTAAGTAAAAATAAGTCGACGTGTACATGGTTTAGTGATATTTTAATTAAATGATAGTTATTTTGTTGAATTTTTATGTTTGTAGGAATTTGGTATTACGTTTAAGTTGAAGTAAACGTGCATGGAAATAATTTAAATATTTGATACTAAGTATTCGTAATGCTTTGCGGTATGAATTCGTTGGTGACGTGTATAATGTAATAGATGATTTGGAGGTAAAAGTTTTTGGATATTTTATTTATTTTATATGTGGAAATGTTCATATTTGTAAAGGCTAAATACTTTTTTGCTATCAGGTAGTTTCATATATGTTTCTTTTTACCACCGGTTTAAAGATTGAGAAAATTGTCATGTATTTTCGTGAAATTTTTCTAATTTATGAAAAAAAAGCAATGTACATGGATATAGTGAAGAGTGTGCGCAATGCCATTTTTGTGCAATTCTGAGATTTTTTTAAGTAAAAATAAGTCGGCGGCGTGTACATGGTTTATGTGTATGTGTTTATTTTGAAAAACGCGTAAGGTGTATGGTATTGTGCACTTTTTCCCAATTTTGCAGTGAATATTTGTCATGATTAAGCAGTTTTGTTTGATAAAATTTCTAGCATAAGTGTAATTCGGCTAGTAGATTGTTGGAAGAAGTGTTCAGTAGATAAGAAGAAAAGAAACATGTCTTTACTCCGTGAAGACAAAATGGCGGCGAGGAAAAAAAATAGAGGGTTGCTGTAGGAGAGTTGGTTGCCAAATTTTCGCCAAAAAATCGCCAAGTTACCATAATGTAAAGATCAACCCAGACTTTAAGCACTTAGAAGATTTTTGGTGGCCCCACATACATTTACAACACAATGCCTGTTATTTTACCTTTCCTTATCTCTCGTTTTTGATTTTGTTATATCATACATTCCATGGCACTAACCTGCAATGAGAAATTTTTGTGGCATTCCTTTTTTTTTTTTTTTTTTTTTTTTTTTTGGAGTCTCTAAGCACTTTTTGTAGTCCTCTTTTCCTTGATGCACTAAGCATGTTTATTTTCCTTAATGGTTAATTCAGCTTTGGTTTTGAGAAATGGGTTAAGCAACTCTTTCTGTGTTCATATAAATTTATTATTCCTATTTTCACCGATTTATTGTTAAATCTACCAAAAAAGATTGAAAGAAGAATAGAATCTAAACTTTGCAAAAAATTGAGAGTTTCTACCATGTCAATTTTCAGAAATGTAGAAATTTTACTTTATTTAGAATGTAAAAATTTAACAGCTAGGTAAAAATCTTCTTTTGCCTTAGGATTTATGTTTAATGCTCTACTTATACTACTTATGACAACAAATTTGCGAAAGTTCGGCATATGGGTGGGTCCAATATTGAACCCTTTGCTAATAGGAATTCTACTGTATATTTAATTTATTATTGTGCAAATTTCGGGCAAAATCGGTGAGTACAACGGCATAAACTCTAGTGCCATATGAAAAAAAAAAAAAAGCATCAAAACACATTGAGATCTAAAATAAATCTCGTAAGAAAAAAAAGGTTTTAAGTAGAAATTTAATTAAAACACTAAGACAGCGATACTAAAAAATAATTATGAGATAATACTTATTACCTCTTTCATAGCTTTATAAGTCGCCTGCATTGCACTGAGATATTCGTTGCAATTACGGCAGAGTTGAATTGGTCTGGCATTCGCTGAAGAGCAAAGAATGAACGTTAAAACAGCCTGCGTAAAATTGTTTAAACCATCCGTGCAGTTTTCAGGATAGACAATCTGAGATGATTTATTGTCTAAAAACAAAGTATATGCATTTTCGATGGAGCTACTTAAATGCAATTTAGTGCTTTCAAATGGCAGCAGTAAAGTTGATACTTGATTAAACATAAAAGTGTTTTCTTGGACACCAAGCGTTCGTTGGACAAAAAAATCTCTTACAATAAAAGTCAGAAATATGAACGTACTTATTCTACGGTAACCACTCATAATGAAAATTGCTAGTATTACTATAATTGCGTTAGCATAACGAACTGTTCTAAACTCCGCGTAAAGTCACGTTGCAAAGTTTCACAACAAACTCATGTGACATAACATCAATCTACAGTTGCCAAGGCAATACCTGAGAAATAATCAATCAGCCTCAAGTTTTGAAATAAAAGTTGGAGTACAGTGGCATCTCTTGATTCCACGGTTTTCGGGATACGAGCCGGCGTCCGGGCTAATTTTAGTGCCTGGATGCGAATGAAAATCTAGATAGGAGACAAAACGAGAAGTTCGCTGTAAACAAAGCAAAAAGCAAGGTAGCTCGTTCAGCTTAGGTAGCTGCCTAGTACTACAAGAATCTCTATAATATTTCGTGCACGCTTTCTCGCATTCTTCACCTGTTTGAGCAATTATTTTGTCATTGTTATTAAGATACATATTAGATGTGTCTTAATAACAATGAAATAACTAATATAAGTATATATTTAGTAGCTGAAGTACACTTTCTAAGACCAGATAGAGAGCATTGTTTTTAAAAAGTACTCAAATGTTTAATCTCAAAACTGAAAGAGACGGGGCATATTGGAGTTTCCGGTTACCTCCTTCTAGCACACCATACGACATCTTTATTCGCGGAAAGCGAGCACTTATTTGCTCCTTCTTGAGCCCGTCCCACTACCGTCTCACCTCATTCTGTTGGATTGCAACTTTTTATATCAAACCGTTTTACCTATTATAGGAAGGTGGTGGTAAGCTTCAACCATCAATACTATACAAATTTTTCTACAAAACTATTTGGAGCTTCTTGAAAACTGGATGACGCTGTGGAGAATTTCCATTAACACTGACAAAACCAAAGCCATTATTTTCAGAAAAGGACAAACAAACTTCCTTCCGCCTAATCCCATCTTCTTTGACGATGAAATTCAGTGGACGGATCAAGTGAAGGATCTCGGAGTCACACTTGACAAAAAACTCACTTTTCGGCAACATTTACACGAAACTGTCAGAAAATTCAATATCTCAGTAGCTACTATGCGTCCTCTCTTCGGCAGACATAGCAATCTGACTATCAACAATAAGCTTATTTTATACAAGTCCATCCTTAGACCTACTTAACTTTACGCCAGTCCGGTATGGGGACATGCCGCTAAAACCCACATAAAAAAGATCCAAGTTATTCAAAATAAAACCTTTCATGAAATTATTGATGCACCCTGGTTCTTCCCAAATTCATATATTCACAGAGATCTTCAAATTGATACTATACAAAATTATATAAAAAAACTTGCAATAAATTTTTTCCTTTCTGTACTATTACATCCAAACAGCTGTATCAGCTCTTTGCGATGCTCACCTTTTCCTAGAGCAAAACACCAATATCCTTCGGATATTTTAACCTAACGTTTTGTTAATTATTTGAAGTATCGACTACTACCTTACTGATCCAACTTTTTTTCACATTGCTGGCCTATTTTCATTCATTTCATCTTTCTTCCCCGACTGATGGCGGCTAAGTGAAATATCTCATTCTACCATCTTGATTCTTCATATTTTCCTTTTGTTGTTCCAGACATTCTTTTATCTGATGCAGAGTAAAAGCGCGCTGTCACTCTCTTTCCATTCGACACAAGCAAGCTTTTCACCGCTCAGTAGTGTTGGCCGATGACATACTGTACCTTCCGCGTTATATTATAGTACGCCATAACAGCTGAAGAACCTGGCCTTGCCTGAGCTTTACGCACAGTGCAGAAACATCATTTAAGAGGATGAGTATAGTTTTGTCAAGAACTCAGGTAGACAGTGATTTTCCTTTTATTTTGGTTCATGGTGATTTGGACAAAATTTTACCAATCTCAAATAAAAGCGTAAAACTAGTACAATGCGAAATGACGGTTTTTGTAAGAGCTCTGCTTTTTTATAGGTTATGGCTCTTTCCTGAAATGAGGTTTGTAAAAATCGTGGTATATGTTTGGTCGATTTCTTCACCATTTTCGAAATATTTGCGAAAAACTGAAAGACAATGCACTTAAATTCTGCTTTAAAGCATCATTCATGATCAGGCAGTGGCAGATGATTTTCAATTGAAGGCAAATTCCAAAAATTCAAGGCAAATGCCATTCAAGTCCCATAAAAAAAGGGACAGTTCTATATATCTCCCGTTCTACTGGGCCGATTGACGAAATTCAAATTGCGTTTTTCATGTCTCGAAAGCGCGACTTAAATATATATTATATTTATATATAGCATCATTCTAACAAAAACGGACCTTTTTCTGAAATGACATGCCGATTTTGTTTTCCATATTTCGATTCTCCGACTCAAATTATGCCTTGTAACATACGTTGGGAAATTTATGGAGAAATTCAAAAACTTATCTTAGTGTATTTTTTTTAGTTATCGCCAAGAATAATTTACTTGGCGAACTTCTTAATTTATAACAACTTATTTTCCCTTTTTTTTTTTTTTTTTTTTTTTTTTTTTTTTTTTTTTTTTTTTTTTCATTGCAGACGAGCGGGAAAAAAGTCATCGTTATGACTTTCAAATGATTTTTAAAAAGTGAGTAAACCGCATTTGGCGTTATTATTGCTCAAAAACCAGATGCCCAGTTTCAAAATGCTCCAATATGTAAATTCAGGTATATCTTAAAAAAGTTCGAATAAAAAACTCCAATATTTTGCGAATGTGCTTAGAAATACAGTTAATTGTACAGGTTATAATACAAAAATGTTTTCGAAAAGTTTATAAAAATTACAAATTTCAAAAATAAATCATAAAAAAAATGTGAGAATTATATTTGAATTAAGCCTAAATTTCGAATTCTGGAAGAAGGAATCCAGTAAGTTTAATAAAAAAAAACGCAGATTAATAAGTATATATCAAATTCAACAATAATAGAGTATTTTTTTTTTTTTTTTGGAAGCAGGAGAATTGAAAAATTAGCAACACCTTCGCCGGGAATCGAACCACGGATTTCTGGAATACCGGCCTAGCGTGCAGAACCACTACACCACGAAGGCACGCTAGGAAGGCGGGAGAAATACTTTATACAACTGAGATTGACGAGCTAAAATTTGAGAACTAATTTTTTAAAAACTACTCGTGCAATTTTTACAAAACTTGGCAGTTTGGCATAATTTGAGCACTAGCATCGAAATATGGGGACAATATTGGCATGTCATTTCAGAAAAAGTCCGATTTTGTGTCAAAATGATCCCATATATAAATGTAATATATATCCTAAGTCGCGCTTTAGAGACATAAAAAAATCCAAGTTGAATTTCGTCAATCGGGCCCAATGGAACGGGAGATATAAAACTATTCCTCTTCTTTTTTTTTTTTTTTTTTTTTTTTTTTTTTTTTTATTCGCAGTGTACCTTGAAAGGATAGTTATTCACCTCGACAGAAGACATCTTTTGTTAATATTGAAGCTATAATTAGTTTTGCACTTTTATCCCTAACTCATTTGTACGCACCATAATTGTCCAACCAAGCATGATTTCAATAGCCATGGGGCCACATTAAAGTAACTTATATACTCCAATAATAAGTTTTTCCAGATATAACAAGACCTAATAGAGTTTCAATTGGGCCAATTTGTGGTTCTGTTAAAAATGTGCCGAAATCTTTCAAACAAGTTCTTTCGAAAAAGGTCCTTGACCTATAGGCGGTACAGTTTCACAAGTAACACGTTAACAAAGCACGGTTAAGGAACAGCTATAAGCTTCGGATAAATTAATCAAATAGATAGTATAAATATCAAGTGTACAGTGATCCGTATTAGCATTTCCGAACAGTGATTGACGCAGCTACTCTTTTCTGACCGATTTAAATGCCGTTCTTTCAGCTCTGATTTTTAATATGTATGACCTCTGAGAAGCTGAATCAATTTTTGCACGCACTTTTCAATTCGGCTTTCTTTATAATTACAGTCAGTATTTGCAACAAAATGGTAGGCGTTTTAGAAAAGTTAGCCGAACTTCAAACTGAATAATAGATTCATTTGTTTTACCTCTTTTTTTCTTGTGAATGAGTTTCGCTTTCTGGAAATTTTCTGTACAGATATGTATTGTGAAGTTTGCCGCAAACAAGACAACAAACACTCTTTGCTTTTGCACTTCCTTAACACTGTGATCCGTTTGTAGAATCATATCATTTAATGAAACACCTTAAACATGGAGAAAGTATTATTATAATTCGATGTGTGTTTTCAAAACATAAATTTAATATTTAGATTCAAAAGAAAAGTGTAAAATTCAACTGTTTCAAATATTTATTGGAATATGTAACATTTAAAACTCTTTTGCGTGAGGAAAGAATAGCTATTAAAGTGTCGATTTTACTAATATATACACTATGTCCACACCCAGTCTGTATTTTCGCAAACGCTGGTCATAGATATATTTCCAAACACAAAAATGTTTTAAATGTTGCATATATTCACATTTTGGAATTTTTAAATTAAAAAAAAATAAGTTTTTTGCAAATTAGGAAATGTAATTTTTTATACATACCCCAAGTCTCTTTATTTACATTAGGAAAATTTTATACCTATTATAAAGAATAAGTACAAAAAAGATGCGACTCCTACTGGCTAATAAATTTCATTTCAAAGTTTTAGGTCATATTGAGGGGCCACATATAAATAGAAGAGTGAAATGTTTGCTTTTGTACACAAATGAAAATGCAATATCAGCTCAAAAAAGAAGTTTCTAGTGTTATATAGATTATGTGTTAAGCATTTCTGTGTACTTTTAGATTGTCGTAAAATGTACTGATCAATATTTTTTTTTTTTTTTTTTCCAAAAAGGAGACATTACTTGCAGAATCTTATAGAATTCTTGTTCTAGGAAACACTGATAGATTTAAACATTGGCGTATAGCCAATTAGTTATTTGCATAAATTAGAAATTAAAAATATTTCCAATTACTGAACTTTTTGTATGATTGTTAGATTATGACTCTAAAATAATAAACTTCATGAGAATACTAAAAACGCAATTTTTAGAGCTCACAAACTTATAAATTACTTGCGTGAAATTTCTTTCGGCAAAGCAGTAGTGACAAAATTACAGATTTTAAAAGGTTAATCATTAGTAAATCA